TTATAAACTGTGTGCATATATCACTGTACTATGATTCTATTCATTCTTTTGGGAAGATATCCAGCAGAGGAATGGCTGGGTCAAATGGAACCTCTCATCATAGTTCCTTGAGGTATCTCCATATTGATTTCCATAGTGGTTGCACCAGTGTGCACTCCCACCAACAATCAAGATTTCCTTTCTCTGCACAATTCTGCCAACATGTTATTCCTTGATTTCTTGATAGCAGCCATTTTTTTCTGGGGTGAAGTAGAATCTCAGTGTTGTTTTCATCTGCATCTCTTGAATGACCAGTAATACTGAACATTTTTTCATATATTTATTTGGTACTTCTACTTGTTTGAGAAACGTCTGTTCATTTCAGATGCCCATTTTTGAATCAGGTCTTTATATTTGGGGGGGGCCTGACTTTTTTGAGTTCTTTATATAATCTATATAATAGTCCTTTATCTGAGGAACAGCTGGTAAAAATTGTTTCCCACATAGTAGGTTGTCTATTAGCTCTGTTGATGGTTTCTTTTGCAAAGCAAAAGCTTTTTAATAAGATGAGATCCCAGTCGTTGATTCTCTGTGCTAGTTCCTATGCTACTGAGGATTTGTTCATAAAGTCTTTTTCTATGCCAATATCTTCAAGAGTTCCGCCTAACTTATCTTCCAGCAAATTTAATGCTTCTTTTTAAATATTTAGATCTTTACTCCACTTGGATTTTACTTTAGTGCATGGTGAAAGATAAGGGTCTAGTTTTAATCTTTGGCAAGCTGAAATCCAGTTTTTCCAATGCAGTTTATTAAAGAGGCTATTTTTCCTACACTGAGCATGTTCGGTTACTTTGTCAAAGATGAAGTATCTGAGTACATCTGGAGTTGTTTCTGTATCTTCCAATCTATTCTACTGATCCTGGAATCTTTTTCTTTGCCAGCACCATGCTGTTTTTATCACAATAACTTTGTAATATAGTTTCAAGTTGGGAATTGTGATACCCCCTGTCATGACTTTGTTGCCTAGAATTGCTTTCACTATTTTTGGACTCTTCTTGTTCCAAATGAATTTTTGGATTGATTTCTCTATTTTTGTGAAATATACTGCTGGGATTTCATTTGAGATTGCATTGAATCTGTATAGCAGTTTGGGAAGTATGGCCATTTTCACTATAATGGTTCTTCCTACAAGAACAGGGGATGGCTTTACATCTTCTTATATCCTCTTCCACCTCTTTTTTTTTTTTTTCCAGAGTGCTGTAGTTTTTGATGTAGGGGTATTTTGCTTCCTTCATTAGATTGATTCCTCAATATTTCATTTTTTGGGGGAGGTGCTATTTTGAAAAGAATTGTTCCCTAATTTTTCTCTCAGTGAGTTTGTTATTCGTGTACAAGAAGGCTATTGGTTTTTGATTGTTGACCTTGTATCCAGCTACTCTGCTGAAAGTGTTAATTAAGTCTACAAGTCTTTTGGCAGTTTTTTGGGTCTTCTATATAGAGTATCACATCATCAGCAAATAATGACAGTTTAACTTTTTCCATTCCTATCTTTATTGCTTTAATTTCTTTCTCTTCTCTAATTGCTGTGGCTAATGTTTCCAGAATTATATTGAACAAGAGTGGTGATAGTGGGCATCCTTGTCTTGTTCCTGATTTTAACATGAAGGTTTTCAGTTTTTGGCCATTTAATATGATGTTGGCTGCTGGTTTTTCATAAATAGCCTTTATTAAGTTGAGATAAAGACTATCTGTTCCAATTTTCTGCAGGGTTTTTATCATGAATGGGTGTTGAATTTTGTCAAATGTTTTTTCTGCATCTATTGAGATGATCATATGGATTTTGACTTTGACTCTGTTAATATAGTGTATTACATTTATTGATTTACATATGTTGAACCATCCTTACATCCCTGGCTTAAATCTGACCTGGCCAAGCTGTATGATCTTCTTGATGACCCTCTGTATTCTGATCACTAATATCTTATTAAGGATTTTTGAATCTATGTTCATTAAGAAGATTGGCCTATAGTTCTCTTTTTTGGTTGGGTCTTCATTTAAATTGGCTATCTCTCAAAAACATTTAATTCAGTCACTTATAAATGCTACTTAATAATCTAATCATTTAATCTTTCATTAATTCACTCACACACCATATTACATGCTTGGTATTCAACGTGACTATACATGCCATTTTTAAAATGTATACCCTGCAGATCCATTGCTTCTTATTTCAGAATGTTCCTTCTCTCCTGGCAAACACAAGCCATAGAAGCAAACTCAGAAACAATTTCTTCTGTGAAACCATCCCTGAGACCTCTCCCACAAAGTCAATCAATTATTCCTTTCTCCCTTTAAATTTTCTACTTTGAATCTAAATCAATTTTGCAATGATGTAATGCTTAGTCTATGTGTCTATCATATCTATTAGCCTGAGATCTCCTTATGTGCATGGAACATGCTTGTCCTGATTTGGATGTGGCTCTTCTGTAAACCTAAGTATATCATAGAATTTTCCTCACTGAATTCTAATGTCAATTAACTAGTCTGTCCCTTTGAGTGCTCAACTCGTTAAAGGATAGGAATATATTAAAATTACTTATTTTATTTCTCCAGTGTACAAGACCTTCATTGATTAGACCTTCAAAAATCACTATTAATTTTTGGCAAGGATAACAAAATCACTTATTGGGTGATGATATTGGAAAAATCAGACATCTACATATAAAAGAATGAAGTTGGCTTGAACTTTATCTCATGTCATATTAAAAGCAAAACAGAAAATATAAACAAATAAAAGACTCTACAAAAGTGCAAAAGATACACAGACACTCCAAATGGATCAGTGATCTAATAGAAGAAAATTATAAAACTCTTAGAATAAGCTATATGTGTAAATCTTCATATCCTTAGTTTTGGCAATAGATTATTAGTATGGTATCAAAAGCATGGTAAACAAGAAAAAAGCAATTAGGCTATAAAATAAAAATCTTGTACATTAAAGGATATTCTCAAAAAAATAAAAAGATCATTTCTAAATCATATATTTGCTAAGGGTATAGTATCTAGAATAAATACAGAATTCTTACAATTCATCAACAAAAAGAAACAGCTCAATTTAGAAAATGGCAAAACAATCTGAACAAACACTGATCCAACAATATATATAAACAACTAACATGTGATAAGCTGTTCACCATCATTAATCATTACAGAAATATAAATCAAAACCACAAAACAGTACTGCTTCATACTCAGTAGGATGGTATTAACTTACAAAAAAGAACAATGACAAATGTTGATGAAGAATAAGAAATCCTCAATGTTTATGAGTAAGGACTGGTGTGGAAGTGTGTCATCAAGATCTTCCCCTCAAGATAGAAATAGCTATCTCCAGCTGCCTGGCAAGTTACCCACTTTTAATTTAATAGCTGTATCCTTCTGAAATTGACCTTGGCTGGCTAAGCCTGCTGCTTCTTATTCTTCTTTTACTTTTTTGTTTGTTTGCTTGTTTGTAGTATGGGAGACAGAACACAGTGGTGCTCTGTCACTGAACTGCATCATCACTGCTTTTAATGTTTTAAATTTTGAGTCAGGTTCTTGCTAAATTGGCCAAAATGGCCTCAAACTTGTGATTCTCCTGCCTTAGCCTATAGTTGCCACAGAACATAGCTTGGCAGTGTGTGCTTCTTTAAACAAATTTACACTTCTCAGATGCACATTCCATCACTTGCCAGTGAAAGGCTGTAATAATACATTTCTTATCATGGCAGTGCTATGTGAGAGGAATAAACCAATGGACAGGATGGTGATGATCTGTTATCAGGTCCCAGATAATTGTGCAGATAATTGAATAAAATATGCAAAGTGATATGCCAGAAACATACAAAGGGGATCTATCTTAGATTTATAACAGGCTAAGGGAAGACTTGCTAGGTGGGAAGAATAAGCAAATGAAAAGGGTGAGTTAAGAGTGCTCCAGGCAGACAAGATAACATACAAACGCCTATGAAATAAAAGCTCAGAAGAGGTTCTATTAAGGAGTAAAAGCTATATCTTATTGTCTTATACAAGCTCTCTTGTCTAGGTCTCAGTTTCTTCACTTATAATCAGGGAAAAATAATGGTTCTTGTCTCACAGCATTGTGGTGAACATTAATTAAAAAGTTAACATTATATAATTGATTATTAATGGCAATATTACTGCTAAGAGGTGACACATACAGTATTTTGTTAAAGGAACAGAAACAAAGCAATAAGCAGTGTGAAAATATAACAAAGACTTCACATGACCTTTTAAAGAAATCTTACCAACAAAACACCATTGTGTGTTATAAGGAACAAATTCTACCAAGTTTATCTTACAGAATCAGTAGAAATATAGATGAAAAATTAATACTTTTGTAAATGATATTAAACCTCTAGCTTTACAATATAAAATTAGCTTTAATGACTACTATCTTCCTTCCAGCAAATATGCCTAGCTTTCTTTCTGATAAGATCCATGAATAGCTTGGGTAGGACTGCAATGGCTTTCTATAAATCTTAACAGCTCATTTCTTTTAAAATGTTTTATGTGAACAAAGCTGCTTTTAGTTAAGAGAATGGGGGAAAATAAAATCAGAGCCAGAAATTCTTGCTGTTGCCCTTACTTAACATAATTTTACACAGTATTTGTAACTTTTCTCCCGTTATTGTAAGTAGAAAGCAAAGGCTAAACAAATAAATAACTGACCTCAAACTAAATGGATTTAAAGAAAATACATGAATGTGTTCTTTATCATAAAGTGGATCTTTTCATCAAATAGCAAGCTTAAAACAAAAAATTCTGAAAGAACTCTAAACGTGTAATTGCAAAGTAATAGTGTAAAACCAGCAGGTTTCCAAGTAAACCTCATCAACTGCAATGAGTAAATATATGTTATGTTTAGAATGAAAAGCAAAAGCGATAGCAAAACAGCTCCCAAATGTTCTTCAGATAATGAAATATTACAGAGTGGAAAAAGTTTCTTGATAGTTCCTTACCTGCTTGCCATATTCCACTCGAGAGCTGGATTTTGAGAATTCCTTTCACTCTCTGTTAGCACCCCTCCTGTGGCACTTTCCTTCTCTGGTTTTAGTTGATCCCACTGAGCAGTACCAATATTGATGGACTGCAAGTCTATTTGGTATTGTCTATCTTCAATTTCTGATCCAGGATCTCGAAGAATTCCTAAGTTCAATGCTCTCCTGTAAAGCCAGTGAAAAAAGGTAAACAGATCAACATTCTATGTTAATTTTGCTAGCTAATATAGTATTGTTTTTTTACTGGTACTTGGAAATGAACCCAGGGCCTTTGTACTGAGCTACATTTTTTAATTTTTATTTTGAGATGACATCCAATTACATTGCTAAATTACCCAACTCGGGGTGGGTCACCCTTGCAATCCACATGCCTCAGCCTACTAGAGTACTGGGATTCAGGCATGGGCCAGCATGTTCCTCCGCTATCATGCTTTTTTTTTTTGATTGCTGATTAATAATGTGGGTTAATTGCACCTTCAAGTACTAGAATATTATCATATATGTAATCTAAAACTAATAATTTAACAAAAATCTATGCTATAATTACTTCTTACATCATTCCCAGAACTGTATTTTCTAAGCACTTTTACATATATAACTTCAGTTCTTGACATGCTTTCAGGTTTACTATGCTTTCATTTTTACCAAAGAGAAAACAAGTCAGTTAAAAAACAGCAAAGTTACACAGCCAGTGTGTGACAAAACTATAAGTTAAATTTATGCCCCTCTTCAAAAAACCAAAACTAAAAACCAAAACAAACAAAGAAACAAACAAACCCTTTTCTTTGCTACTCATTTACCTTCCTCAAAACCTTCTATTATCACTAGGAAAGGTGATGGCCTAGACTTGGTTTGTGTCTCATACATTATGAAAAGATACTCAGTCAGAAGAGACTTGTCCCAGGAAAGCAATGAGCAAAGGACAGGCAAGGCAAAGGTGAAAGAAAATTCTCTTGGGAGAAATTAAGTATCAACTGCAAGAATTTCCCTAGATTAGATTAAGAAAGAAATGAGAAGTTACAACCCACATACGATACTAGGTACCATTAGTGAGACACAGTAGAAATGTTAGGCAGAAGAAACATAACTTCAAAGACTGAAAAGAGTGGATTAGTAGACATGTTTAGAAAGTTTAAAAAGCACCCTCAAAATATAATAAAAATTTTGGTAGCAACTACAAATGAGAACAGAATTACTTAAATTTAAAAGTCAAGAAGATTAAACTCAACTGAAGTAATAGTGAATTGAAAGACCTGAATATATTTAGAATGCAATTCAAAGAGACAAAAAATATAGATTTATCTATAAATATAGAAGGTTAAGATACATGAACAGTAGAAAGTAGAAACTCTTAAAAAATGTCTAACTGGAATCTCAGGGAGCTAATACAGAAAATAAGTGGAGGCAGTATTTGAAGAGATAATATCTGAGAATTATTTTTCGAGTGTTGAAAAATGCAAAATCTGAGATCCAGACAGGAGAAAAAAATCCTAAAAATAATAACAAAGAAATTGGTGAATATATGGAAAACTTAAACAAAATCTTTAAATCAGTAATAAAAAGGTCTAAATTAGGAGAAAAAGAAGAGTAAAAATAAGACAGTGAACAATAACAGTATTTAAATTAGAGGACCAATTAATTGATGTAAAGTGTTCCAAAGCTCTTGTTCTGTGGATGGAAAAGAAAAAGGTTCTGATTAACATCACACTTAAGTACACATGTTAAAACAGATGATTAAGTGCATATGTTAAATAAGCTCTAAAATAATAGATGTGGAAAACATTTTTCAAATAGATTACAAATTAAAATGTAAGAAATGAAAAATGTTAAAGAGAAAACATACAATAAGCTATAAATAATCCAAACATCACAATAATTAAGATAAATATAAATAACCTGAACTCTTCTGCTTAAAAAATTAAACTAATTGCAATTATATTGTTTTGTATGAGAGAAAGCTAAACTTTAGAACACAGGAAGACTGAGTCAACAATTGCAAAAGTATCCATCATCAGACAAATACTTGACCAAAGAAAGCTATGACCTAAGATGACACTGTCATTACATAGCATTACTAGAAGACAAAAGATTCAATACATCTAGAAGTCAAGACAATTCTAGGGCTTGGGGGTGTGGATCGGTGGTGAACTGCATCTACAGTAAAAAATGTAACACATCTCTCTCAGCAATGGATTAAGTAGACAAAAAAGATAGAAATTTTAAAAATTTAACTTTGATAACACAAACATTTATAGAACAAGTGTCCGAGCACTGGAGAACACATAGTTTTCTCAAGCACACAGGAACAATTATAAAATCTGATCACCTTCGTGGTTACAAACCAGTTACACACATTTTATTGAATTAGTATCATATATACATTATATCCTAAATCAAGTTATTTTATTAAAGAACTCTTTAAAATGCCTAATGTTTGGAAATTTAAAAACATATTTTAAAATTAATCACTCATTGGTCAAAACATCACAATAAAAATTAAAACAAAATGTTGTGCATTAACATTATGGTATGAATAATGGCATTTTTGAGGAAAATTTGTTTGAAATACTAGTCTTAGCAGAAAAGAAAGGCTCAGAATTAAAAAGCAAGCTCAGTGTGGTAGCACATGCCTGTAAACTCAGCACTTGGGAAGATGAGGAAGGAAAATCCCTAGGAGTTCAAGGCCAGTTTGAACTGCATAGTGAGACAGATCTCAAAAGAAGAAAAAACAGAGCCAGCCATGGTGGTGTACGCCTGTAATCCTAGCACTCAGGAGGCTGAGGTAGGAGAATCGCTGTGAGTTCGAGACCAGCCTGGGCTCTAGGTCAGTCTCAACTTCATAGTAAGATCCTGTCTCAAAAAACAAACAAATAAACAAAAACCAAAACAAAACAAAAAACCAAAAACCAAACAAATAAAAACCCCTAATAAAACATATAAAGGAAGCATAAAGTAAAATAAAAGGAAATAAAAGGAGAAATTAATGAAATAAAAAAGAGACAAATAACTAAGCCAAAAATGAGAGAACTCCAGCATTCAGGGGAAAATAAACAGAAAACACACAGATAAATATAAAAGTCTACATAAACTGCATTTTTAATAAGAAAAGTAGCTACACTGCTGTGGAGATTAGGCAGAAAATAGGAGTCTACTAGTAAGACTCATAAAGGTAAAGATTTATATTATAATTTATTTTGGAAAAAGTCTCTTCTGGTCATCATTGTCCCTAGAAGATATTCATACATTTCACCATGGGACTAATATAAAGGCTGTCCGCTCATTTTTCTGAACAAAAACAACACTGCTTTTTTCTTCTCCAGTTTTTTTTTTTTTTTTTTTTTTTTTACCGGGGATCTCCAGTTTTACTTCAATGTGCAAATGGCCCTAGTTAAAAGCCCTAGCTGGGTACAGTGAAACATGCTTAAACTCCCGGCTATACAGGAAACTGAGGCAGGAGTACCATAGGTTCGGGGCCAGCATAGGAAACTTGGAAAGTCCCTGCCTCAAAATAATTAATTAAAAAAGTAAAATGATCCAGAGTTGTAGCTCAGTGCCAAGGCCCTGAGTTCAAAGATTCCATTTGTGAAAAATCAAAATCTGAAAATCCAACACCTTGACAGTATAAAAACCTACTGATAATGTAGTATAGAGTGTCATTAGAAGCATGTAACAAAGAGGAAGGCAATGGTCAAAAGAGTTTCAAAAGCCCAGTCTTCTCATTTCATACAATAAAGAAAGTATCTTAGGCAGAGGCAACAACAGGTTCAAAGGCCCAAAGGTAAGAGAGTTACCTTTGCAAAGAGAGTTGCATTTGGATACTCTGAAGAGGCCCTGGATGGCTACATGGAGAGAGGCATGGAAAGAAGCAATGCCATAAGGCAATGGGGGATTCAAGCCAAAGACAAGTCTTTCTTCATGAAATCTTAGAAAGTTTATAAAGTTTAGGAGACTTGCATTAGGCCCAGCCCTTGGGAATAAAAAGATGCAGCCCAACTATCACCACTCCTGTTTAATATAGTTTTGGGAACATTAGCTACAGCAATTCAACGAGAAAGAAATAAAAGCAATAAAGACAGGAAACGAAGAACTTAAACTGTTGTTATTTGCTGATGACATGATACGCTACATAGAAAAAAACTCTGCCAAAAGTCTTCTAGACTTTAATGACAGATTCAGTAGAGTAGCTGGATACACATTCAACACTCAAAAACCAACAGCCTTCTGGTATACAAATAACACACTCTCTGAGCCAGAAATTAGGGAAACAATTCCTTTCACAATAGCATCCAAAAAAAAAAATGAAATATCTAGGAGTCAATCTAACAAAGGAAGCAAAACACCTCTACACTGAGAACTACAACACTGAAAAAAAGAGATCGAAGAAGATATAAGAAAATGGAAAGATATCCCTTGTTCCTGTGTAGGAAGAATCAATATAGTGAAAAAGCCCATATTTCCCAAACTGCTATACAGATTGAATGCAATCTCAATTGAAATCCCAACAGTATATTTCACAGAAATAGAGAAAACAATACAAAAGTTCATTTGGAACCAGAAGATACCTAGAATAGCAAAAGCCATTCTAGGCAAGAGAGACATGGCAGGGGGTATCACAATCCCCAATTTGAAACTATACTGCAAAGCTACTGTGATGAAAAAAACAGCATGGTATTTGAAAATAAAAAGACCCGAGGATCAGTGCAATAGGTTAGATGCAGAAACATCTCCAGACATACTCAGCTACCTCATCTTTGTCAAAGAAGCCAGCCATCCTCACTGGAGGAAAGATAGCCTCTTTAATAAATTGTGTTGGAAAAACTGGGTTTCTCCTTGACAAAGATTAAAACTAGACCCCTATCTTTCACCATGTACTAAACTAAAATCCTAGTGGATAAAAGATCTAAGTATTAAAATAGAAACACTAAACTTGTTGGAAGATAAGCTAGGTAGAACTCTTGAAGATACTGGCATTGGAAAAGACTTTATGAACAAATCCTCAGTAGCATGGGAACTAGCACAAAGAATCAACAAATGGGATCTCATCTTATTAAAAAGCTTCTGCACTGCAAAAGAAACCAACACTGCTAAGAGACAATCTACAATGCAGGAAAAAAATTTTACTAGATGTTTCTCAGACAAAGGTCTACTATCTACAATATATAAAG